GTGGTGCATACTCCAGAAGAATGATATGCGCATGAAAAAAATGTTTTTACCTAGTTATCAGCCCTATTTTGCCGGAAAACACTGTAAAACACAGTGTTGTGTAGCATTTTCATGTTAAAATCACATCCCCACCAACACCCGGTCTCAAAATGAAGCGGCGATGCCCACTACACCACAGGCTACCACTCCAACCACGGCAGCTGGCACTATTGGGCCACCTGAACGACTTGTCCACAACTTCGCACAACAACATGCCCGTCAACCAACTACAGGCCACTCCTCAACCAGTTCCACTGAACTGGGACATGCACAACTCCAGCAACTTCAACTTGCACATCACTGCAGCCATAGAACTACGTTCAACGCCCAAAATTCCAACTACAACCCAATACACCAAATTCTACATTCCACTCACGGTGGAAGACTACTGCTTCCTCACTACTGAAAGCGATGACCCCACTACAATCAACAACTTCTACGGCATGGCGCATGCTGCGCTACATCCACCATTTCTCCCACTACATGCACCCCCAGGTCACCTACACGAACCGACCTACAATCGACTTCAAATGATGCACGCTGCATCAGATGCCCATATGTAGCACTGCTACAGCATCACTGAAGGCCACACAACAACAGACAACGGAAAACACCCACGCGCTTATCGCCATTGCACTACCAAATGACTACGCAGAACAACTGCAACGTGACGGTTCCCATGACTACTTCATCAGGGATTACGTCAACCACTTAGCTTCCATCATGAGCAACTACACCCTTCTCAACAACTACCAAGGCGCCCACCTCATTCAGCTCGAGTTCACAGAGTTCAACAACCACTACACTTGACAACGGACTAAAATTTGGGACTACCACCTACTACTCAGCACTCCACAACTTCTACACTTCTTCGCGCAACAGGCCACAGATGACACCATCAACGGACATATTCAAAACCACCGAGTATTGTGGACACCATCTACTGACTGCCACCCACGGCAACCACGCCACACACCAGCAACTACTGCGCACCCTGCAGTAACTACAGGCAACCATGCCTGTGTGTCCTATTAAGGGCTTTGACAGGATCAGAGGATCCGGTCAAGTACTGATCGACTACCACCACAATCCACGCACTTCATCAAATGAAGCAACGACAAAGGGACTACTGGGCAGCAACATTCTGCCTGAGCATTTTGGACTACATCATCAGCGCCACTCACTGAGCCTGAACAACGTGCGCTTTTGATGACTAATCCCCCTTTTGCAGGAGTTGTACGATACTACAGATCTTTAACCTGAGAGGCCGTGTGAAAGTACATGTTGCACTATTTGACAGCTATTCATGTTGTACACAACCGCAGGCCTTGAGCTTTACTCTTTACTAAGTACATACGAGACCCTGAGGAAACAGGTGTGAAGCAGGCTGCAGGGCCAGGCAGAGAGAGAAGAGAGAGAGGAGAGAAGAGAGAAGAGAGAAAAGAGAAGAGACAAGAGAGAAGAGAGAAAAAAGAAGAGAGAAGAGAGAAGAGAGAAGAGACAAGCGAAGTAGCGAGAAGCGAAGTAGCGAGAAGAGTAGCGAGAAGCGAGAAGCGCGAAGCGAAGCGAAGCGAAGCGAAGCGAAGCGAAGCGAAGCGAAGCGAAGCGAGAGAGAGAGAGAGAGAGAGAGGGAGAGAGAGATGCCTAGGCTGGATCCAAGAGGTTGCAAAATACAGTTATGATTATGATGGTTCCTGCGCGAGTACCCTCCGAGTACCCTGCGTGCGAGTGTGCGAGAGTTGCGTGCGAGTGTGCGAGTGGACTGTGCGAGTGTGCGAGTGGAACGGCCGAGTGAGCGGACGAAATACTGGTTCCAATTGCAGGTCAAAAATAAGGCGTGCGAGTTAAAAAGTGTGCGAGTAGGGCGCGCAAGTGTTCGAGTGCCTCGTCCACTCGTCCGCTCACTCGCGCGTTCCACTCCCTCACTCGCACGCCCTACTCGTACACTCCACCCGCGCACTCGTCAAAAGTCACTCGTACACTTTTTGGCAAGCGTGCCCTGCCCTGCCACCGATGCCCTGCCAACACGTGTCCCCAAACACTGTCGCTGCTGCATTTCGAGCTGCATCACCTGCATCATTCACATCCGCTTCGCACTGCCTTCATCCAAGGAAAGCCGGTTTCTACCGCATTATTTGGTGACAGTTGCCTTCCAACCCACCTCCCCAACACAGCGTCATTGCCACGTTTCGAGCTGCATCACCTGCATCATTCACATCCGCTTCGCACTGCCTTCATCGAAAGAAAGCCGGTTTCTACCGCATTATTTGGTGACAGTTGCCTTCCAACCCACCTCCCCAACACAGCGTCATTGCCACGTTTCGAGCTGCATCACCTGCATCCCTCACATCCGCTTCGCACTGCCTTCATCCAAGGAAAGCCGGTTTCTACCGCATCACCTCCCCAACACAGCGTCATTGCCACGTTTCGAGCTGCATCACCTGCATCATTCACATCCGCTTCGCACTGCCTTCATCCAAGGAAAGCCGGTTTCTACCGCATTATTTGGTGACAGTTGCCTTCCAACCCACCTCCCCAACACAGCGTCATTGCCACGTTTCGAGCTGCATCACCTGCATCCTTCACATCCGCTTCGCACTGCCTTCATCCAAGGAAAGCCGGTTTCTACCGCATCACCTCCCCAACACAGCGTCATTGCCACGTTTCGAGCTGCATCACCTGCATCATTCACATCCGCTTCGCACTGCCTTCATCCAAAGAAAGCCGGTTTCTACTGCATTATTCAGTTCCAACCCACCTCCCCAACACAGCGTCATTGCCACGTTTCGAGCTGCTGCATCACCTGCATCATTCACATCCGCTTCACACTGCCTTCATTCAAGGAAAGCCGGTTTCTACCGCATTATTCATAAACCTAAACTACAAAAGGCAGCCTCGGATGCACCGGACAGCCAGCTCCAAGCAAACCTAAACCTTAAAAACCCGACACCCAACCCCAAAAACCCTAAACCCTAAAAACCCTAAACCCAAACCCTACAAAACCTGAAAACCCTAAAGCCTAAAACGATAAACCTAAACCGTAACAACCCTAAACCTAAACCCTAAGAACCCTAAACCTAAACCCTAAAAACCCTAAACCTAAACCCTAAACACCTCAAACCTAAACCCCAAGAACCCTAAACCGAACCCTAAAAACCTCAAACCTAAACCCTAAACACCCTCATCCTAAACCCTATAAGCTCAGGTGATATCCCCAACATCATGCGGTGCTCTTTTTAGTGCTCGCACCCACCACCCCGCAGCCCTCGCAGAACCTCGTGGAACCCTCGTGAAACCCTGGTGGAACCCTCGTAGAACCTTACCTCAGGGCCGCCGCGGACCACCCCGAAGCATATCTGGGCTGAGACCCAAAGCTTTCAGCTGTTGGGGGGAAAACCTTGAACCTAAACCCTATCTATAAACCCTAAACCCTAAGAACCCTAAACCTGCCAGCACCATCATACAGCATAATTAGACCTTGTGGGCGACTGTTTTGTGGGCAACGGTTGCCCTGCCAACCCATCTCTGTCACTGCCGCATTTCGAGCTGCATCACCTGCATCATTCACATCCGCTTGGCACTGCCTTCATCCAAGGAAAGCCGGTTTCTACCGCATTATTCGGTGACAGTTGCCTTCCAACCCACCTCCCCAACACAGCGTCATTGCCACGTTTCGAGCTGCATCACCTGCATCATTCACATCCGCTTCACACTGCCTTCATTCAAGGAAAGCCGGTTTCTACCGCATTATTCATAAACCTAAACTACAAAAGCCAGCCTCGGATGCACCGGACAGCCAGCTCCAAGCAAACCCAAACCTTACAAACCCGACACCTAACCCCAAAAACCCTAAACCCTAAAAACCCTAAACCCTAACCCTACAAAACCTGAAAACCCTAAAGCCTAAAACGATAAACCTAAACCGTAACAACCCTAAACCTACCCTAAACACCTCAAACCTAAACCCCAAGAACCCTAAACCGAAACCCTAAAAACCTCAAACCTAAACCCTAAACACCCTCATCCTAAACCCAATAAGCTCAGGTGATATCCCCAACAGCATGCGGTGCTCTTTTTAGTGCTCGCACCCACCACCCCGCAGCCCTCGCAGAACCTCGTGGAACCCTCGTGAAACCCTGGTGGAACCCTCGTAGAACCTTACCTCAGGGCCGCGCGGACCACCCCGAAGCATATCTGGGCTGAGACCCAAAGCTTTCAGCTGTTGGGGGAAAAACCTTGAACCTAAACCCTATCTATAAACCCTAAACCTAACCCTAAGAACCCTAAATCTGCCAGCACCATCATTCAGCATAATTAGACCTTGTGGGCGACTGTTTTGTGGGCAACGGTTGCCCTGCCAACCCATCTCTGTCACTGCCGCATTTTGAGCTGCATCACCTGCATCATTCACATCCGCTTCACACTGCCTTCATTCAAGGAAAGCCGGTTTCACCGCATTATTCAGTGATATGCGCCCTTCCAAAACACCTCCCAATAACAACGTCATTGCCGCGTTTCGAGCTGCATCACCTTCATTGCTGGGACCCACTTCACATTGCCTTTATCAGGAGACAGCCGGTTGCGACCGCACCCCTCAGTAACAGTTGCCCGGCAACCCATCTATGTCACTGCCGCATTGCGAGCTGCATCACATTGCCTTTATCAGGAGAAAGCCGGTTGCGACCGCACCCCTCAGTAACAGTTGCCCTGCCAACCCATCTCTGTCACTGCCGCATTTCGAGCTGCATCACCTGCATCATTCACATCCGCTTCACACTGCCTCATCCAAAAAAGCCGGCTTCTACCGCATTATTCGGTGACAGTTGCCTCCCCAAAACAGCGTCATTGCCACGTTTCGAGCTGCATCACCTTCATTGCTGGGACCCACTCCACCCGGCTGCGACAGCACCATTCCGTGACAGTTACCTCTGGCTGGTCAACCACACATGCGGTCAAGTTGCGGGCTCACTTTCACACTTCCAAAGGAAGCAAGGGATTGAAGCATTTTGTCATATTCCTCGCTGGAGGACCAGCTTCTTACCTCGGCCGCCGACCCTAGCAGCTACTTGCCCAACCTTGCAACAGACCTTGCCGAGGCAAGCTTGGCTCTTGCAACCACCTTCTGGCACCCTTGGACCACTGGATGTTGAACCAGTCAGACATACAGGACTTCGATTGCGTCATTCTTGTCCTACTTCCTCAGTCCGTTTGGTCTCCTGATTTGACTTGCAATGTCCACCCTTGCTCGCGCAAAGGCGGGCCTGACATGTAGCAAGCTACAAGAAACTTGCAGTTGCCAGCCTTACAGCTTGTACCCAGCTTCTCTCTCAACGCTCCCTTGCAGAGCCCGGCGCAACCCATCAAATCAAATCAAGCGGCAAGGTTTCGCTCAAAGCCAGGAGGGGGAGCATGGGAAATATCCTGCCATTCCTGCAAAGCATTTGTGCGACGATGCCCGAAGGCAGCATGACTCGGTCCTGAAACTTCTGCGAGCCAATGGGATCACGAAACAAATTGCTCTTTGCCCTCAGAACCTCTACGTCTGTGCCATGCCTCAAGCATGATCAAGTGTCGCACAGCTTGCCAAAAAGATGTCGAAAATTGGTCTAGCTCGCTAGTTGCTGCTCAGACGCTTGTTGACCTGCGCGCGACACATTTGCGCCGAAATCCGAAATATGTGGCATGCAGGAATGTGGAAAACATAGTTGGAGGCTCCGTGCTGAGTGTGGCGCCGGTGCACAAACCGCAGCTGCCTGCCTTCTCCATGAAGTCGATGACACACCAAATATCCACAAGAGCAGTTGAGCATCGATTCTTTTCTTCCTCCAATGCCCGCATTGGCTCGCGACCTCAAGACGCATGGCCTAGCAGCCTGAAAATTCCAGGATTTCGGGACTTGCCATGTCTTACTTGCAGTCCTGATGTGTGACCAGTGTGCCCAACGGCTGACTCACGCGGGGTCTCCGAGGTCTCCTGCGCCCAACGGCCGAGCCGCTGTTGGCCTGCAAGTTCTGCAGCAGCTCGGAGCAGCGCGCGTCAGCGGCCGAGCTCAGCTCGTCGAACGCGGCGGAGATGTTGGAGCGTACCTCAGCGATCCGAGGGTGTGGGTCACAAAGAGGTACTCAACATGGAACCTTGGCCAAAAAAAGCAATCAACATGGAACATGGAACCTTGGAACATCTGGGTGTGGAAACACAAAACAATCCTGCGGTTCTTCGAGAGGCTTTATTTTGACCCATGGCCATCTGATGCCACGGGTATCTGATGCATCCGACGTGTCAACAAACCGGACTGCGCCTGCAGGCACGCCAGCTCGGAGGACTCAATGCCTGAGATTTCACATGGCTGAGCTTGCACGGCAAGCTTCTGGCAATCGCCATGCAGCAAAAAAGAACACCCAACATAGCTGCCCGCGCGTGCGGGTGAATGGCTACAGGCAGTTCGCGCAGCATGACACGCCACCCGGACGCACCACCTTGCCAGTGCTATCAAGCTGCTTTGGCTCAACACCTTGAGCAAGGCTTGGTCATCCAGAAGCTTGTTGCACAATGCTTCAATGATATCCTTCACACGTTGTCGATGCTTCCTCAGCACATCCCTTGCAGCCACCAACTTCCCCTTCCTCCAACCGGCATGCTCTTACACTTGAGCCACAACAGCAGCCCAAACAAGACGTAAACTAGAACTCCCAGGCACTCGATCAGCAATGCGGAGGGCAACTTGTACCTTGCGTATGCAATCTTCCGGAAGGCAGCAGCTTGCAAAGCATTCCCTCCCTAGCCAAGGCATGGGCGAGTGCTGCTGGTGATCATTTCCTAGCAACACATGCGTCCGCCAGAGCCACAGAAACTAAGGCACCAGCTGCAGCCCAAGGTCTTGCGCACTCGTGGCAAATAAGTCTTTCGCAGTCCTCACCTGAAAGGATTGCCAAAGGCATCTAAGCACTAGGCAACAAAAACATACCCTATTGATCCGAGCAGCAGTACAGCTCATAGCGGCTGGTGCGGTGAATGGCGCAATACTGCGCGCGGTGCATGTTGCGTACCTGCCGGCTCTCCGAGAGAGCGTGGCTTTCCTCAAACTCCGAAGCTTTCTGCAGTGCAGAAGTGTCCCCCGCCGTTGAAAGCTTATCATCTATTTCCTTGCTTCCTTCCTGTCCTTTCCTTTCCTTTGCTTCCTTCTTTTGTTCATTTGTTCTTTCCTTCTGTCCTTCCCCTTCCTGTCCTTGCTTCCTGCCTTCCATTCTTGCTTTCATTACTTTCTCTTTTCGCTTTGTTTGTTCCTTGTAATTGCAAAGATTCATTGTTTCTTTCTTTCCTTCGTTCCCTGCTGCCAAGAACCGGAGACAAGTTTGTCGCAACACGTGCCCCGTGCGAAAAGAGCATCTCGGGTCGTTCTTTGCCCACGCTTGACAGCTGGTTTCAGCACAAAGTGCAAAGGCTGGCTGCTTTCAATGAGGCAGATCCGCACAAAGCTCGCGCGGCCTTGAAACTTGCTGGACGCCGTCTCGTGACTTTCGAAATGCCACGGCAAAGGTGTTGCCAGTGGGCAACATCCTTCCTTGCGTTCCTTCCAACCGTTCCTTCCTTTCTTGTTTTCTTGTCTTTGCCTGTTGATGCTTTCTCGCTGTCTTCCCTTCCCCTTCCTTCCCCTTCCTTTTTGCTTCGTGCGTTCGTCTCTGTTTAGGCCAAGGCCTCAGAGCCCTGCTCCACGAGCTTCACGAGAATGTGGTTGGTGGTTGCACGCGCCCTGCGGTGCCTACAGCAGCGGTGCATAGCGAGCGAGAAAGCGACAAAACGGATACGGCGCTACGCTCAAGCTGAGCCGTGCCAAGCTGTGCCAAGCTGTGCCAATTGCCAAGTGGCTGCCTGGTGCAGCTCTCGCATAAATTCATAATGCATTCTTCACAGTACGTCTCTGCTCCTTGGCCCCAGTCCGGTCCCAGTCCTCCTATGGACTAGCTTAAGCCAGGCCGCGATTCCCCGAGACGCATTCTTCGCAAAGGAAATCACTTTGGGCAACCTTCTGACTGTCAATCACATGCAGGAGGTCAAAGTGTGGAAGATAGTGATGCAGGGCTTGCCTTAGCCGGTTGCAGCTTCTCTTTTCCGCAAGTCTAGGATCTTTTCCTGTGGATGGCCCTTGGAAAGTGCCAAAACAAGTGCAAAAACTGGCTAGCTCGGCAGTTGGAACGCATCAAATGTTGTCAGTGCATGCCAAGCAAAACATCAACTTTGATCATGTCCCACATCTTGACGGCACGACGGCACGGCCTGCAACGGCAGAGTGGCCCAGGCAAACCAGTGCCGAGGGGCATCTTCTGAGCTCGCCTTCCGCAGCGGGGGCAATCAAAGCAGTCCCTGTCGCTGCTGGAGGCCAGGCTCTGAAGGCAGGCAGCACACACACTGTGGAAGCACGGCCTCGCAGCACATGGCTAAGACCGTCCAAGACCACTGAAGACCACTGACGCTAGCAAGGCAAAGCCAGGTAAAGCGGGGCAAAGCCAAAACAGCCCAGGAGCAAGACTTTGACCTCATGCCGGCCCTCGTATAGCGCCGTCTCATGCAGATTCCGCTTGCACATGACGCAGCCAACCTTAGGAGCATTCTCAATGCGAACCAAACGGCTCGCGGCTCGCCCTGGGCGACCCCTGGGCGACCCTGGCCTGAGATGGAGCGTCGTCAATGTAATCAAAGAATTCACCTTCGCCGGTGGCCAATTGCCGCACCAAGGAGTCCACCTCAGGACAGACCTGGAGGCAACCAGAGCCGATCGCCGAGGTCGGATAAAAGTCGTCTGTGCTCTCGACGCCTCAAAGCTGGCCAGCTCGACATTTTTCGGCAGTGCTTCTCGTTCCGAGACATCCCGCTTAGCCATGCTCAGCACGCTGAAGCCATAACTATCCAGCCTGCCCCACGTGACATGCTATGCACAACCTGGCAACTCTCTCGTCCCGGCGCCTCGAGGAAAGGCTTCCTGTGGCTGCAGCAGTTCGCACAACTGCTTGAGCTGCGCCGGCGCCGGCGTCACTGTCCAGAATGCCACCCAGGTGGCCCAAATTTCCGGCTTTCCAGCGCAAGCTGTCCTTATTTTTCGCAGCCCGGCCACGCTGGCCCCATGTGGCCCATGTGCCCTCAAAAACATTGCCACTGGTTGGGCAAGATGCGGCGTGTGCCGATGTTGCTGCTGACCTTGGCAAAGGATTTCCTGTTGCAACCTTTCGCCTTGTCCTCTGGCCTAAAGCTGCTTCATTGCCTCAGCCAAGCCACGACTCCTCGGATGCGACGGAGGGTGCATCTGCAAGGACAGGCTCTCAGGCATTGGCATGCACTGGCAGATACTGGCATGGAAAAGCATTGCCGAATCGCCTGCGTCAGACTGTCTCGAGGGAGACCCCATCTTTGCACCCAGCCCCGGCGGCCACTCCATGGAGTTTTCAGTCATGGCGAGAAGCGCGAGCGGCTACATCTGCATGCCTTGCTGCTTATCTGCTTTCCTATTGCACAGCGCAGACAAGACCGTGCCATCGTACCCCACTTTGAGCTTGGTGATGCAAGGCGAGTCTTGTGGCTTGTGGTTTGATTCATTGATCAGTTGAACATGCTTCTGAAGGCATGGCGTGCCGCATGGGCCTGAAATGCAAAGTGGACGCTCATAAAATCCACCCCGCTAGAGCGCAATCACATCATGCGGCCTCTGGAACCGAGTCAAGCCCGCGCCGCAGTGAAAGGGACACCTAAGTTTAACTGCTCCATCGTAGTTTCCCTGGATTGCCTGTGCATAGCCAACTACTGGCTTGGGATATGTCTGCTTGGAAAAGGGCATCTGAATTCCAGCCTCAGCCAGCCCTCTGCCGTAGCCAAATGAGGGCAAAGTGACTTCCGGATGGGTGTGCCTTCTTTTTACAATGTCCACATCAGTGGCTGCATTGCAGCAAAGCTCATGATGCTGAGATTTCGACGCCCTTCAGGAAGTGTTTTATGTGCTCGTTGCTCAGAAACGTTCAGCCCCAGCGTTCACGCATATGCCCTACACGGTTTCCTTCTTCTTCTTTTTGACAATTTGAACTGCCATACTTTGAATTTACATTCTCGGGCCCCTAGTGTTGCTTCGCTTGCAGAGGCCTGGTGTTTTTTGTGGATTCACAACTGGGCCAAAACCAGGGCTAGTGTTTTCGGCCGCAAACGTGAATCCCAAAAAGAACGCCAGGCGGCTTGTTTCGAACCCAGGGCGTGAATCCACTTGCGGAGCCCTGCTGAACCTTGCCGCAGAGCCGCCCCGGACTACCCCGATCTCCAAAACCCTGTTACTCCAGAACCTGTCTTGAACCTTCTTATGACCAGACCCCCCCGACTTTCCGGATACCTCACCTGCGCCAGACCACCGGAGAACCTCCGGAACCTTCCTTGAACCTCACACCCGGCCACCAACCTTACACCAGACCGGCCCGGAACCTCCAAAATCTTGCTCAAACCTGACGCCAGGCTCCCGCTTCCCCGAGCCGCCCCCAAACCTTGTCTGGGCTGAGACTCCGTTGCTTTCAGCTGTTGGGGAACAACACAGGCCCGAGAACGTGAATTCAAAATGGCAATTCAAAAAAGGTCCGGATGGACCGGTGAGAATTCTTTGTTTTTGTTTGGAACCACCCAGTTGCTCACTCGCTTGCTTGGCGGGGAGTCCAAAATGAGGGAATCCCAAATAGAAACCTCTATTGTAAGTTCGAACAAAACACCTTTTTCCCCAAGGCTGCCGAGTTTGGGCGCAAGGCCATCAAATGGCAATGCCAGTGAATCTCCATCAAGGCTGCGCCTTATCCACCACTGTCTTGGCGTTAAACTGAACTATTGTGGGCAGCCCTTGCGCAAATAAGTTGCCTTGCCACAGCTTGCGATGAACAAAATATGCCAGTGATATTTTGCTCGGCTGCAAGCTGCACATGCAACCCAGGACTCGGTCTCACAGAGTGCAAATCTCGTTGTCGGCCTGACGGGATGACACAAGCCAGGTGCATGAAGCTACATGCACATGCGCAAGGCATGCTCCCACACGGACACGACGTTTTTCTACTCGCCGATGCTATGGTGCCAGGGCATGGGACCCATGCGTTGCATTATCAGGCAGAATGCATCTAACCGCAGAATTGCGAGGCATCCTGTCCCTCTGGGGCAATTTAGGCCAGGTCCAGGCTAGGTCCAAATGGCTGACCGCACCAATCTGGATCGTTGCCTGGTTGCTCACACTTCCTGTGCGGACAGCCGTGTGCCCGACTTGCTCACTCAAGCCAATCGGTGGATCAAGTGGGCGCCCCTCTGCGAGATGACAATGTCGCTGATGGCACCCACCTGGGGCTTCGTACACGAAAAGCAAAACGTCAAATCAGCATTATGTGCTGGACGCAGCATGCCCGGGCGTGCCAAGGCGCGGCCAGGTCAAACGCTGCAGCCTCGAAATCTTTGTCCGACTGACCTCGTGGCTTGGGCTACTTAGCCGGCCTCTCGAAACTTCTCAGATTTCCCCCCCCCCCCCCGCCTGGCACAATCCACCCGAGGTCAGCAAGCGCGCCGTTGTTCGCAGAGTTGCAGTCCGAATGGGCCTCACCGGGCTATGCTAAAATAAGAAACAAAAGAAGGACTTAGACGTCACAACGGCAGGCATGTCCCAACGCGATACCAGGGGACCTATGCACCTAATGTTCTTGCTCTTCCTTGCACTCCCTTGCACTCAAGTCTCTTGTGCCACAAGCTCCTGCCTTGCTCAGCCTCGCATACGCGGCACAAAGAGCGCTCAAACCAGCTCAGTGAGAATCACACAAGCTCAGTGATTGATAGAGACGAGCAGCTCAGCGAACTTTGACGCAAGTTTCTTGTTCTCGGTAGGAGTGCCATGTGGCATAGAGCTCAGAACCTGTAAAAGCTTCAGGAGCTCCTTTTCAGCATCCTCAGGCCAGTCGAGTCACTTCAACACATCTGAGGAAAGCGAGCAAGAGCAGAAGTGAAGCATGGCAACAAAGGCTATCGGGTGACGTGAGGGCAGGCTTTTTGGCTGCTTGGCCCAAGCCGCTGAACCCCAGATAGAAAAAGGACACAAAATGCACCCCCCCCTCTCTGCCAAGGCTCGGCTTGTGTTCTACCCTTGGGTGGCGCTCTCCGCGCATTGGAGTCGTGAGCCGTGAGGGACTCCCATTTCAGGAGGATGTGGCTCACTCGAATGCCTTGGCCAGGCTGAGAGCCCAATAAGGGGAAGTTCCCAACATGCCGCAAAATGCCGCAACCCACGTTTCCCTCCCGCTAGCAAACCGCTAAGGTATGCCCTGCTGAGGCCAATCTCGTGGTCTCACTGCATCCTTCTGACCCCGTTGGCAAGAGAGGAAGTTAACACCGTCTTGGCAGCGGCACACACACACACTTACTGGCATCAAGCTGACGAGCTTTATGAATCTAACAGCCGAGCTTAACATGCGCCTGCCTTCAACGCAAGATCCACCTTACCGTTTCACTGTAGTCGCGCAGGACTTTTCCAATTTCTTGATACTAGTGAACTCTGCCCTCCCCCCCCCAAATGCTGACCGCATGCCACAGTGCACAAGCCCTCCGACAGAGCCGGTACCCGAGCCGCAATAGAAACGAACGGGGACTACAAGTTGAAAGCCACTTCTGTTGCGTACTGATGCAACTGGGATTGGCAACCACGCCGTCCCCAGCGCTTCTTGAAAATGGCACAAGTCATGTGCAAACCTGACGCCGTGGACATCCTTGTTTGTGCCTTCACAACTGACTCTATTGCCATCCAAGCGCGGTTGGGCATTCCGCCGCCTGGCTGGGGGCCAACCACAACTTCTGGCGCTTTCCTCGGGCGAGAGCCAGTGCCGGGGCAACACTTGAGTCCCTGAGGATCCCGGCCGCTTCTTGGGATCCTCTGGTTCTGGCTGCTGAGACGGATCTTCCCAAGCCTTCACGCTGAACTGCGCCGCCAAAACGCCTGCGGCTGTTGCACTTTGCGTGGACAGGATGCGTGGCAACCACCCCCCCCTCCAAATGCCCGAGTTCAGGATGAGGCCTACGGAGGGCGTCTCACTTTTGCCATCTCCTGCGCAAATGCGCAGGGCCAACGTGACCGCAGGTGTGTGAAGCTGCGGAAGAGCGCGCCTTTCAGAGCTTCAGAGGCAACTGCAGCAAGCTGCGTAGCGACTGCCTTCGGCCGTCCCTGATGGAAAAGCGGCAGTGCAGGTACTGCACCGGCAATCAGTCGTGCACTCAAAGATGCCAAGAGCTCATCTGCTAGTGGAAACGGATGCTCTCTGGTTCAACCTTCCCACCCGTCTGGCCTGATTAGCTGCCACTGCTTCTGCCATCTGGCTTGGCTGCACGGATTGTGCCCCATCAGTCATCATCAGCAAGCACAATGTGTTGCCTTGGGTCAGAGAAACTCCCAGGCGGACTGACGCCAAGAACTGCCAAGAACTGCCAAGATGCCTGGCTCTATTCGGAACACCTCCCCGGCAAACTCCAGGCCAACGAGCCTGGGATCGGAGACGCACGGACCCTCGGACCTGGCCTCTGTGCCCCTCGCTGCCCTCGCCCTCGCCCTCGCCGTGCCTCCTGGGGCGCTTCAAGTCTCGCAGCCCCATGGCAGCGCTGACCTCCACGCCTCGCACAGCGAGCTCGAGTGGCGCCCAACGAACGCCCAACGCGTCCAAATCGCTCGCCTCTGGCGCCAGCCGGAGGCGTCCAAATCGATGTCGCGGGCCGAGCCGCGGCATCGATGGCTTCGCGGAGAATGTCCCAGCCTGTCAAGGGGCCATTTGCTTGGCAAATGGTCTAGATCTGATGCCTTGCAGTCACACTTGCTCCCAAGGAGCTAAATAGAGCACGGAAGCTAATGACTTGACTTGCTACAAACATCAAACATACAAACCCTCAGTCACACCAATGCTTGCTATATCGAATTGAAGAGATCCAAGGCACATTGGACAGATCGTAGTTTGAATATTGGTTCACTCGGGTACAATAAATTCGCGTTGCCGGGCCAACCGCAAACCTTGGCCTGGCTGCGATCTGGCAACCTCCTTTGCTTGCTACGGGTCTAGGCCATGCACGTGGCTTGGGGTGCAACACTTTGGGCTTTCCGATGACGCCACGTTCTGACTGCTATCGACTTAGGCGCTGGTAGCCTCTCCTCTGGCAGCCATGGAGCCAAAAAAAGAATCGAGGAAAAAATACATTTAAAAAAAGCAAGGGAATCTACAGTCCAGCATTTAACGGATTTGGACAGTACATTCCTCATATTCCTTCTGCAATTCCGTTCAAGTATTTTTCGCCTAAGGGCCTAGGATGGCCTAGGGGGCGGCAATTCAGAGACCGCAACGAGCAAAGCACGTTGGTCAAACTTCCCTGCCGAGGCGTTGCAAGGCCTACTGTTCCCAAAAGGCCGAAATTTGCCAGCATCCCTCCCACAAGCACGTGGACGGCCCAGAGCGCCGGGCAAGGAAGAATCCAAGGTACTTGTCACGCCTCGCGTGGCATCTGAAGGACAAGTCGCTGCGATGCCGCCGAGCACAGCTTGATAGCGAACTGAAACTGCTCCATTGGCAACGGCCTGGACGGCCAACGCGTTTTCGGCGCAAATGCAATCAGAAAGGGCTAACGTGAGATCCCGCGATCCGGGCAGCTTACACGCTATCTCAAGCGCTTGTGTTGCGGCATGGTGCAGCATGGCCTCACCGCAGCCTGGAGGTATCTTCAAAAGCGCCGCAGCTCGCTGCTGAGTAATGATGCCATCCTCCTCGTCCAAGACATAGAGGAGCTCTGCCAGCCTCAGTTGCGCTACCAGGCCATATGCAGGGCCTGCCGATGTCTTCAACTTCCCAAGATTCCTTCAAGTTCCGTGCAGCAAAAGGGGCTGCTGGGCCCCAAAGGTGTCTTGAGTGAGCATTTTGTCCACGGCCTCCCCAGCTGCCTGAGACGTTGCACGGATGCCGTTGCGGCCTGCAGTGACTTGCGGAGCCTTGACGCGGCTTCGAGCAGCCTCCGCCTGCTGATCGCCACGGCGCGGTCCAAGCAAGGCCTCAAAGGCCTGCAAGTGGAACTGAACTTCTGCCAGTACCACGAGACAATAGGCTCTCGCGCACACACACACACACAAACACAAACAGAAACACAAACACAAACACACACAAACACACAGACACACAGACACACACACAGACACACACACACACACACACACACACACACACACACACACACACAGACACACAGACACACACACACACACACACACACACACACACACACACACACACACACACACACACACACACACACACACACACACACACACACACACACACACACACCACACACACACACACACACGCACGCGGCACACACCGCACGCGCACGCACACGCACACGCACACGCACGCGCGCGCACGCGCACGCGCACGCGCACGCGCACACGCACACGCACACGCACACGCACGCGCACGCGCACGCGCACACGCACACGCACACGCACACGCACCCGCACACGCACCCGCACACGCACACGCACACGCACACGCACACGCACACGCACCCGCACCCGCACCCGCACCCGCACCCGCACCAGGACACGCGCACGCGCACGCACACGCACACGCGCGCTCGCCCGCAGGCCTGGCCTCCACGGCGTTTTTGCCCGTGCTCGGCTTTGCCGCCATCGCTTCGGCCAAGCTGAGGCCGAGAGCCGCAAAAGGATTGGCTGCACGCAGGGCCTTGGTTCAAAATAACTCAACTTGGATTCAGTGGCATGGGTGGCTGAAACGGAATGGGTGCTGACGCGGCCTCAACATCCCGACTTGGCTGCCACACTTTCCGGATAGCCCGGTCACGATCCGAGAGGTCTGCTAGAGATGCCTGCGTGCAACAGGGGCACGACAGGGCAGCAGGCCAGTGGATGCGCCAAGCGCTCAAAGATCGTCTTCCTGCGCCCTGCCTCTGAGGGGCTTGCAGTTTGCAGCTGCGCTGCCTGCCCCATATCAAAGTCCAGTGGTCCGTAGGCCTCAAACCGTCGCCGCCTCTGCGACCTTAGCAGTACGGAGCAGAGAAAAATGCGAGAGAGAGAGAGAGAGACACCCTGTTGGTCATGACCCTGGATCAAACAGCCGCTTCGGTGGACTAAAATCACACATCACTCCATGCAGCCTCACAGGACGCTTGTGTGCAACCCTTCTTGATGGCCACACGACTGCGCAGTTTCTTCTGCCCCAACCCCTTTGCTTCGCGTCCCCTTGCTGGCCAGGGGCTGCAGGATGTCTAGCCTGGTATGCCCTGGGACAGAGCCTGTCGCACAGCCATCCTCTTTGCCCAAGCGCGCCACGGCTTGGCAACAGCGCAGCTCTCGAGTGCTACACCCTGCCTTCCACCGTTCTGCACGCCCACGCGGCACCGGCGCCAGGCCCCTTCTTTGTCGGGGGCTCTGCAGGGGCCGCAGGCGGCGTGCACACCACAGCGCGGCAGCCGCCTGAGGCTCTCACCAACCTTGACACCTCAAGTTCCTCACGGAAACTAAACGGCCAAGGTTGGGATAGTCGCCGGTCTCTGTCGCTCTGTCTCTCTGTCTCGCTGCCTGCCTGCCCCTGCCTCTGCCCCAGTATCTGTCTCTGTCGCTCTGTTTCTATTTCTGCCTCTGTCTCTCTGTATCTGTCTCTCTGTCCCTGTCTCTGCCTCTGCACCCGTCTCTCTATCCAGTCTCCATCTATCTCTCTCTCTCTCTCTTTCTCTCCCCGCTTCTCTGTCTGTCTGTTTCTCTGCCTGTCTGCTGCCAGGTCTCCCTGCCAGCCAGCCAGCCAGCCAGCCAGCCTGTCTGCCTACCTGTGCATCTATCTGTCTGTCTTCGTCTCTGTCTGTCTGTCTCCTTCTGTCTGGCTGGTTGCTTGTCTGTCTGGCTGTGTCTCTGTCTCTGTCTCTGTCTCTGTCTCTGTCTCTGTCTCTGTCTCTGTCTCTGTCTCTGTCTCTGTCTCTGTCTCTGTCTCTGTCTCTGTCTCTGTCTCTGTCTAGCCCTGTCTGCCGCTCTCTCTCAATATCTATCCATCCATCCATCTGTCTATATATATATATATATATTTCTGGCCATCCATCCATCTCCATCCATCCGTCCGTCCGTCCATCCATCCATCCATCCATCTATCCATCCATCCAATCCATCTACTTTTGGACACACTATCAGCCCTCTCCGAGGAGATAGTATCTATCTGTTTATCCACCTATCTGCTTATCTACCCCATCTAGACGTTTTGATCTATCTACCACAGCAAATCTGCGCATATCTACTCATCTGTCAATCCACCTTTGAGTCTCCCCCGATTGCTGCGCATCTGCTTGCTCGTCCACCTGTCTGTCAGCGTCTAGCCGTCTGCCTACCAAGCTCTATTCATCAACTCTTCATCTATCATACCTATCGGTTTGTCCACCCACTTGCCACTGTTTCGTTCAATGTTGCACGAGCAATTCCGAAAGACGCAAGAAGAGTTTTGAAAGCTGATCCATGCTCTTTTCGCAAAGGGTTTATCGGTAGACAAACCACGCGCGGCCGCGCCAACGGACCCACTGTGCCCAGATTCCGGGACAAAGGCAACTCTCGCTGCCGAGGACACCAAATTCAGCACAAGGCCACAATAATTGATCTGTTCCGGTTCGCAAAGCAGCTCATTTGGTCCCAGAACTGCGGAACTTACTTCCAAGCCTCTTGCAAAGGCGAGAGCCCCGGTCCAGCAAGGCAACACTCTTGCCCCAATGTGAAATCAACGGAGATCCAAGGTCCACGCCCAGGCTGCACACCGCCAGGCGCGGTCCCAGCAGCAGCGCCACTGCGAGGCTGCACCCGGCGTAGCGCGCAGGGCTCTCCTGGACATGGGACACACAAGGCGTGACAGAGAGGTCAGATGGGTCAGATAGGTTTTGGTCCATGTTTCCACTTCCCAGGGATCCATTTTGGTACTGGTTTGTTGAGCCACAGCCAGATGGGTGACGCACAGGTGACGCAAAGGTGGGGCAAAGGCGCGCGCTCCAGTAGAGCGTGGTCCAGGTGGGCCAGGGCTTCCTTGATGATGGACACTAACTCAGCATCATCCAGATCAGAATGCACGGCCTCAGTTCAACCATGGCATGTGGCCCCGCACCTCCGTACCTGGCAAGAAGCCACGGAGATCTGGTCGAAGCCAGGCCACGGAAAGGCGTGGAAGCAGGTGAGTGTGAAAGCGCTTGGCACACCACTCAGCCGCAGAAGCATTCCGCACACCATCCACCAGCAGGAACAAGGCGGCCGGCTTGTCTGCGAAGGGCATGGGCCTTACCAAAGAAGCTGGGCCTCGACCGGCCCTACAGTTTGCTAAGCCGGCTCAACTCGGATCAAACAGCAACCACCGCGCTGCCCACCAGCGATTCACCTAGCCGGGCTGCAGCTTCAGAAGCGATCCCGTGCGGGCCAGCTCTGGCAGAATCACGGCCATATCATCTTTGCGCCCGCTGGAGGTTGGTAAGCAAACGGAGCCATGAGCCATCTTCAGTGAGTGGTCCTACGGGACAAACTTGCAGTGCTTGCCGCATCCAGCACCTGCGCGCCTGTCCCAGCCAAATACCACCCTGTCCTCTGGACCATGTGGGACACCAGTTTGCAGCCACCGGCTCTTGGCCGGAACGTAAACTTCGTGCGAGCGATTCCGATAATACCTTCCTGAGACATGTCTTGCAAATCAAACGGCCATGCACAGGGCCATAGCCAAGACAAAGCCTGAGCCCCAATGCGACTAGCTAGAATCATAATGTGGACAAACTTCCGCTCTCTGCATTGAAGAAGAGCATGGGGACCTCAGACGACATCAAAGCAACCAGCTTTGAGAAGCAAATCGAAGGCCGGACCACAAAAAACTCAACAGGACAAATCCTGGTTGACATGCAGGTGCACCCGTGCAGGCACAGGCTACGGCAAAGCCAAGCCCTGCACATGTCTGCCCTCCTGATTTTGCCGCTCGTGCCTGCAACAAGGCAGGAACGTGAAAAGGCAAAGCATCTCAGGATCATAGGCCATGACCCCAATCTGAAGCCAAGCTGAAGCCAAGCCGCATGTACCAAACCCCTGGGAAGATAGGAACTGGCGTCTGTAGCTGTGCCAGCGCCCAGCTTGGGCCCACAGGAGCAAAGTTCTCCGCATAGTCTCGCCTCAACTCAGTTCTGAAAAAACATGAGCTTCAATAGACGACACAGCGGACTCTTGAAAACACCGGTCACGACAAGAACCATTGGATCAAGGCTCCTCTTGTTGTTTGCCTGGAACCACTCAGCTGTCGTCTCAAAGTTGTCCTTCTTGGTTCTCTGTGCTGCGTGCACTTCTGGAAGGAGCCTCTCGCTTGCCTCCAGAATGTCGTCCCCGGTCAGCTCCTGCAGCGGTCAGATTTCAAGCCATGATCAAACCAATTGGCAGATCCTGGACTGACCACTGCTTGTTCTCCAGCTGATAGCACTTTCTCCATACCTGGGCCATCGCTAATACCATGACTTTTTCACCATGGGTCCGCCTCTTGAAGGTTGAACTTCTTCTCCACGCACTTAAAGGCAACGCGTTTCAGCTCACCTTGGGCAATCGCCGCCGCGCAACCCTTGCTTGAAAACAGCGACAAGGTCACAGCCGTTGGCTAAAGTGACGAGGCGCAACCATCCTTTCGTGCCTCTTCGGCTGTAGATCGCCGAGGGCCAAGAACCCGAACTTCCTGAAGGTAGTCACCAGTTGCTGTGGGAGCTGTGTCTGCCCCACTTGCGCAGTGTCGCAGAATGTTCCTCTTGATCAAAGAGGGTGTATACATGGTTGCGTATCCCCCTCAGTATGCCACAGCATAGTTCAGCAAATCGGCCAGGTTTTCGTACAGTTTGGGGCTGGTTCCGGGTCAGTTTCTGCTGGGTTTGGTTGGGTTGTTGTGGGTTTACAGTGGATTCAGCACTGGTTTAAGGTAGATAGGCGTGGGTTGTTGGGCTTGGGCTGGGTTGAGGGCGGGTGTGGAATTGAGGTGAGCTCTGGATGGGATTCAGGTTGGTTGAGGACTGGTTTCAGCTGAGGCCATGAAATCCACGAAAAGCTGTCAAAGCAACACAAAACTGATAAAAGCCGTACAACAAAGATTATTCCTGAACCACAAAACATATCCGATGCAAAACCTTCAAAGGAGTTCCCATCCTTCAGCGGCTCTTCTGGACGCTGCACGTAGACCTCGGAACTGTCCGGAGGCTCAAAGGCAGCAGGATCTAGCAAGATCTAGCAGGATCTAGCAAGATCTTGCATACTATCGCAGTAGCCAAACTTGAGACAAGCAGCAGAGACATCGGCCCTCTGGCTGGGACCTATCCTCAAGTTCACGCACCGACCCGTGCAGGGCAAAAGCGGGCAAATGCCCAGCAGCCACATGATGCCGTCCACCGCAAACAATGCGTGACATGTTTTCCAGGCAAGGGGCGTGTCTTGGATCACTACAAAGTCCGGAGGCGGCACGCCGTCCACCATCCACAGCATCCCAGCAAAATGCCGTGCTTGAGCCTCTTTCTCTTCTGCCTGGGACCGGCACACGGCCCATCTTTGGTGCATGTCCGGGCGACAGCGCCTCGCGGACTTCCTTCTCCTTCGTCGAGTTGTCCGGATTTCTGAACATGCCCACGAGCTGGGCCGCCCCTGGAGCAGCTTCTCTAAAGCCTCCCCTCTCTTGCAAGCGAGTGTTGGTGGGGGCAAAACGGCAAAACGGCAAAACACGTACTGCGTAGCGGCAGGCAGTAGGTAGGCTCTTGCTGTTTGGCCGGATCTCTAAGAGACCTCTTTCCGATTGAGTCTTCTCAAGGGGACGCTGGTTTGGGTCTCTGCCCGAGCTGCAGGCGGCTGAGCTGGCAAGCAACTTTGTGCGCCACATCTTTCCAGGCACGCTCAACGCCGTCCTCCCTCCTGCCGATCCTGGGTGTGTGTGTGTGTGCGCGCTTGCGTGCGCGCTTGCGTGTGCGTTTGTGTGTGTGAGAGAGAGGGAGAGAAAGAGAAAGAGAGAGAGAGAGAGAGAGAGAGAGAGAGAGAGGGGTGGCAACCGGTGACTCCGCTTCAATCCACGTTTCACCACCCGTTGGTTGCTGCTTGTTGCCAAGCATTGCTGGCGCCCTTGCTATTTGCAAGGGGGACAGCACCAGGTGGTCCCTTTTCCTCCAGCATTACATCGCAGCCAGGCGTGCCTCTTGCTCCCAACACCTGCTTGGAGGTGTAGGTGCGCCATGCTCCTCCTCCCTCGCGGGTCCTTGGCAAAGGGGCAGGTGCAAACGGGCACAAAGGCCTTGAACCGGCAGATCCGTGGCAGCTGAGCTCTCCACGACATGGGCCGGCCGCTGGGGAGAAGAGCGTGCTGACTATCTACCCATCTTGACTGGTTGACAGCGGACTCATGGAAGCAAATGAAGCATGCATGTTGCATAGGAGGCAATGCGCTCGGATTTTGTGTGTGTGTGTGTGTGTCTGCATGCGCGGTCCATGCAAAATGACTCCAACGCAACCAAAAGGACGAGGACAAAGAAGACGCCACGCAAGTGCACAATTGAATCGCATGCGGCACACTGGTCGCCACGCCTCTGCGGCCTTGCACCCATCTGACACCTGAATGCAAGCCGCAAGCGCCCACAAGTGCTGAACGCCCAACCAAATGCGAATTGCAACTCTCAACTCCCGAGCTGTCAACGCAACCGTCATTTTAGTCCATTGGCATGAAGCGTTGAGTCATCTTCCGAACTGCGCGTCTTTGCACGGTCGTCATAACTTCGACCCAAGAAAGGCTGCGCGCACCGCCATTACCCGCAAATCATCTCTCCAACAAGAATCAAAAAAGATCACAATCACCCCCCTATGGACTTGCAATGGCCAGCACGTTGCCAAGATGAACTTAAGGTCCGTTGATTTAGGCTTGTAGGCACTCAGTTGTCCCGGAGATGCTTGAGCATTGGACCCGGCTGAGGGTTCGAGCCATCCAAGGCTAGCGCCCATGGATTAAACATCCAACTGGAGTTCCAATCGAGACACTGGGCCACGTCTGGGACTCGAAGTTGGCAGTTCGGCTCCCTAACCAGAAAGGACATGCACGCAGCGCACGCAGCGTCTGCAAGCCACATGGGGAAAGCAAATGTTGCAGCTCTCGGTCCACCCGAATGTCTGGCTGACGCAATCGCATGATTCGCATGATACATGAGGACTCCAGACCTGTTCCCGAATTGGCAAGCGCGTCGAGCGGTGCAATGAGGGCAGTGCTCGTATGGTACAGCCTGCGTCTGGCCCTGGATCATCGCATGCGCTCCTGCGTCCCAGGCAGCAGAGCGGTCTGCGAAGCAAGCTCGCCGTCCTGGCGCGAATCCGTGCGCGGTGTTCCCCAAACTTAAGCGCTCACTCGAATCCGACGAACTCTTCAAGTATTCACAGATCTTCACAGTATGAACGACGAGCGGTGGTAATACACTGTCCTGAGACGGTGGCCATAGTGACGCAGATCGCTGCCGGCCATCTTCCAGCGTTGCAACCTCGTTTCAGAGCCTCGCTTAGCCCTTGCTGTGCTTGCAGCGATCCCTTTGCTGGCCTGCTGCAATCGAAAACAAAACAGCCATGCGCGCCCCTCTGCAGAAACACGCCCCACTGCTCCATCAAAAGCTACTTGGCGCTTGAACCCCCGCCCCCCCCGCCACGCTACTCATTGCTGACTGGCTGCTTGGCTGGACAGCTTGCTCTGAACCTGCTGTGTCAGACGCTTGTGCTCGAAGAAGTCGCCAGATAAGCTCGTCAGAGCCTCGCACTGTAGCCACTGCCCAAGGCACAGCCCCCAGGCCACCATAGCCATGGCAGCCATCAAAGTAAGCCCATCCCGCCTCATGAAGCTTTGCAATGTCATCTTGGACAGCTAAAGCCTCAGTTCTGCACAAGCAACATGCGCACGGTACCTTTTGCACGTCGAGGCCAACCGATTGAATAAGCTGCTGGCTGTCGCATTGCCCTCCTTGCCGCCTGCCTCGACTTGGTCTCTAAGTTTCCGGGAGAGCTGCTCCACCTGCACGCGACTCTGTTGACGTTTCAGGCCTACCGTACTACCGCAGCGTCATCTCATGTTGTTGGGGCTTTGTAGGCTTCTACGCGGCTCAGAGAAATGCACCCGCAATGCACTCGAAATGCACCCTATGGTCCTGGACCTGGTTGCCCCAAGGTTGCCGCATTGTGCAATCCGCAAATCAAATTGCAGGGGTGACAAGCATCTGTTCGTACTCCACACTTTAGACGTTCTTTCTCTCTCTTGTAAGATCACCACAGCGCCACTCCCAAGCTGCCTCGTTCAGCTTATTCTGAACACCGTCCTGGACAGCCTCGCCATACGCAACAAGCCAATCAGGAAAAATTGAAGAAAAGCTCCCGGCCTGCGCCTGCCGCTTTGCCGCTACGATCTCGCCGCTCGTCGACTGCAGCTGCCCCTGGGAGCAACCAGCAACGAAAAGGCTCATGACCACGTGTGCGCGCGGCTCTGCGCGTGCGCGTGCCTGCAGCTGCACCAGATTGCCTTGAAGCTGCTGATGCGTCGCGCTGTACGACTTTTTCAGGGCCTCAACAATGCAAATCAACGTAGGTCTAGGCAAACGCCGCCCGGCGCGGGCCGAGAGGTTCCCGCCTCCAGCTCCGCAGTCTTTTGGGAGAGCTGCCTCCCCAAAGCGTGGATCTCGCTGAGCAGCTCCTCGCACCCAAGTCCCGTGCCCCGTGCCCGGCTCGAGGCTTCGTGCATTGAAACGCGGCACGGGGCAGCACAAGTTGACCCCCTCCCGACCCTTGTCATGTGCTATGATGTGCTATGATGTGCTATGATGTGCTATGATGTGCTATGATGTGCTATGATGTGCTATGATGTGCTATGGTGGTGCCTGGTCTGTTGCGGCTTTCTGCTTCACGAGTGACGTGATCTCGGAGAAGGCGCTCCTAAACTGATGCACGCAGTCGAAAGTGAAACTACCTGTGGACGTACCCCCTACCCATGCGAACCACCCAACCCTCTGCAAACAAGGATTTGGCTGCAGCTCAAGGTGCGTCAGCTTCTCCCGAAGGTCTGTCAGTTGTGATTGCATCTGCTGCTGCACAGAGATGCTGTGCCTCTTGTACCTGGGACGAGCTGCGAAACACCCCGAGCTATGACAGCTCGTCAAGACGCATGAAGAAGCTGCAATGAAGCATGTCAGGGGCTGACTCGGTGAGATCTGCACTATTGGAGGTGATGCCATCTCGTATGACGCTCATCTCAGCCATCATCGCCTGCCTTGGCAACATCGCAAGTGCCGCCCGCCCGCCCGCCCGCCCGCCCGCCCGCCCGCCCGACACACACACACACACACAAATACGTTGCGCGACGCCGAACTGGAGGTGCACCCTGCGCAAGCTCGCAACCACATCCTTCGCGTAAGGTCTTGGCGGAAGGCGCGCGCAGCGCCATAAGACTTTTGGAACTTTTTGAGTTTGCAGGTTGAGTTTAGGGTCCGGCGGGCGGGAGTTGCAGGATGCTTCTCGCTCGCAATTGCATCCCAAGTCCAGCTGCATATTCGACATGGTTGGCTCAAGACCAAGTGTATCGGCAAGCCATTGCGCCTGCAACTTGTTCCTTGCAGGCGCATGCTTACCCGGAAACTATTCCGCTGGCTTTCGCAAAAAGCAATGCGTGGAATCCTGGGACTGTTGAAGCTGAGAGCTAATTAGGTTTGCGCGGTGGCGGTGGCGTTTTGAACGTTGCGATTACCTGGCTGTGTTTGCGCGGTACGCGCTTCGAAGCGTTCACAGCGCTGAACACAGCCGAACCTTACAAACTGCCAAAGGCAAACCCGAAGCGCAGAATGCACGCGCAAAAGAGAGATAGCGAGATGCTCGAGGAACCTTCTGACCAATTGCGGACGTCGGGTCACTGTCGTTCCGCAGCGGCGCATGCGACACTGCAGCGACCCTTTAGATCCTCACTCGAGCGTGTAGTCCCCTCTCTGCTCCCCCCAGCCCGATCCTAAACCCTAAGCTCTGCTCTTGCTGGAATGCAGCCCTCTGTGCCTAGCAAGTGGCTCGCTTTTTGCCAACAAGCCGAAGCCACGCAAATCTGATGCCCTCTGCTCTCCGCCAGTTCATAAAGTCACCCCTTCTGCATTTTTCAGGCTGCCTTTGGGTCATTCCTGGTGACAAAGGCCATGCCTGGTGACAAAGGGCAGCCCTGGGGCAAAAGCAGAGAAGTGAAGACGCAGGGCGTACCGGCATCCTGAGTGATGGGGCAAAGTGCACCAACGCAGGCTCAGCGCGGCAAGTACGATTGCAAGATCTTTGCCCGTGGCTGCCATCGTGAAGTTGCATGACGGCCGGTGTGAGCACCCAAGCTGGCTCTTTGCCCCACTTCCCGGGCGGGAAACAGGTGACAACGAGGAAGGCTTGCAGCTGTGTGTGCACGGCGGATGCCGTTGAAAGCTAAAAAAGCCAAAAAAAAATGCCGGAAATGCTGGCATGATAGAAATGATAGCGATGCAAGAACTCTCACTTCAAATGCCAGCGCTTTCAAGAGTTTGTTCGACTGCAACCGAGCGTGTGCAGTCAGCCGACCTGCTTGAGAGCCCGGAACGGCATCTGGAGCTCATGCGTTGTGTGCCAACAGCTTGGGCGTGTTTTTTTTTCCTGTTGCGCTGCCTTGCCACAGTGTTTCTCAGCGTGCGTCTAGGCCATGGGTCAACGACAAGCCGCCCACTGAAAGGGCTTTCTTTATCTAAGGCGCGGATCAAATAAGAAAACATGTTCTTCATGCCTGGACTCAGCGCAACACAGCAACACGCCAAGCAGCTCTGGGACCCAACTCAACTTGCATGCCCTGTGCTGCCAAAGCACAGGCTGCTATTCGACCGAGCTTTCATTTCCTTGGGCCCAACAAGCTCAGCAAAGCAAGCGATGCTGTCACGCAGCTGAATTTCTCCAGGACTCGCTCAGCCATTGGGAGAACGCGTTCATCGTGGCATCCACATCGTACTCGGGGAAGCCTTGGCTATGCTCCATGAACATCATGAACCTCATGAACCTCATGAACCTCATGTTCATGTTGCTCCGAGGCTCCGAGGCTCCGAGGCTCTGGGGCTCTGGGGCCCGAGCCGTTGACGCCAGCCTGCATGGATGCGTCTCGCCCACAGGCTGCCCTTGAGCCAAAAATGCTGCGAGCTCCATGGGCCGCCGGTGGGTCGCTTGCCCTACGCCTTGCATGCCTCTGACTCATGCCTTATGACCTTCACCTTCGGTGCTTCAAACTGGGCTGCCAGCTGCACACTTCTGCCCACAAACTCGCCGAGAGCACGCAACGTCTCTCAGGTTGCTTGAGCCGTCAGGGCATCCCCGTACACCCATAGCACTTTAAGTCGGTATGTAGCGTAAGTATTTGCCAAGACTGCAGCCAACTAGGTTCAAAACCTGATCGAAGCGCTGATGGTGATTTGAGAAAGCTCAAGGTGGCTTTGCTGCCCTCACCGTCCACCTGACTGAGCGAGACATGAAATCACCCAGCGCAGCCAACCCATGAACCCAATGGCAACCCGCTACGCTGCAGAGGATCATGATGTCCACATCTACATGGCGAAAGTCTGAATCCCCACAGCACTCTGGCTGGCAACCCTACCCTGTACAAGTGCCATGCTGCAGGGCAGCGTTCTGCCTGTAGCAAAACTCTGCCAACTGCACCATGGTTGCCGAGGAAGTACAGCTACTCGGTTCTCACGCATGCGTCCATCCCCTCTGGTGTGGTTGCTGATTCTCCTTAGCTCAAATTGCCCGGCCTGCTGTGCAGCGAGCCACGCTGCCTACAACAGCCCACCTGACCTTCACCTCAAACTGCAGGTCAAGGATCCAAAGTCCATGAGACATCGCAGTCTGGCCATGTTGATGCAGCAAGACGCGGGCAGCCTACTCCTGCTAAGAGTGCAACGGCTGATTCAGGCAGGAACCCACTCCAAGCTCTAAAGCAAAGCGCAAGTGCACGCTTCTGCAAGTTGGAATGTCGATCTCACTAGTGTGGCGACACGTGGCAAGGCTGCTTAGATTGCAATTTTGCTTCCTGGCCGCAAGCGCGGGGACTGGTCCTGTAGACCTTGCACCCTAAAAGTAGGCGGCCTACGCACTATGAGGATGGGAGGGTTGGCAGAAACAGCCACGATGTCATCCTCTCCCGCCGTGTAAAGAATGGTCATGCAGCACCTCAAGGCACCAACATGATCGGCACCTGGCGTATGTACAAGCCTATGACCGACTTCGGCGAGATGGCCGCTGAAAGAAAACACAAAAACACATCCTTGATATTTCAGCCTTCTTCTCTAACCTGCGGCCAGCCGTGTCAGAGTCCCTGAGCCGCAAGCAGCATGTCATGGTTTCATATGGCACTCTGCCCCGCCTGCAATGGCATCCACTGCTCGTGCCAGCACTGCGCGCGACATGCGCTCGTTTGGAAGATGAACGGCATCGGATGCCTGCACCAAGCCACCCGTCATGCGAGATCGACTCAACTTGAACACACCACTGCTCTCAGCCCGCAAGAGCTGAGAGCTGCCTGACTGAACGCCATCTGAACCGCATCACCTCACAAGTGTTCGTCAAACATGCTGGTCTGCAAAGCATCCGGCTTGCGGCATCAGCAAAGCGTACTCAGGCCACGCGTTGCATGACAAGGCGCATCCCAGCTCTGCCTCCAGAAGTGGAAGGATTGCAATGGTTCCTCGGAGCAGAACCATTGCAAATGCATTGCAGGAATGGCATGGCAGGCATGGCATGGCAGGCATGGCATGGCAGGCATGGCATGGCAGGCATGGCATAGATTTGTCAGACTAAGTCCAAGTTTGGCACCACCTTCGCGTACTGCCAGTACATCCGACTCCTCCATCTTCCAGGCTTCTGCAACCGCAGCGCGAGCTGCGCAGAACACCTAACAATGTGGCCCAGGTAAGCATCATTTGGTCAGTTCTCATTGCGATTGACTCCCGCCTTGGACGTTGGATGAGTCTGCCAGGCTTCCTGGCAACTCTCATGGCCCGGCTCGGCCTTCCGTAGTGCTCTGCATTGCTCTGCCAAGCGGCCGATACTGCCAAGGTGTTGATTTCGAGCTTGTTGCAAGTCCGCCGCTTTGCGAACCTGAGGCGTTGCCGGTTTGCCTGCGCACCCAGGTTGCTTGCCAGGGTGCTCGTGCTTCAAGTGCAGCTTCATGCAACTGACCACGTCGGCAGACTTCTGTCCTGCAGACTTCGCGGCGCACGGAACAACAGCCCGGTAGGACTCAAAGCGCCGCTTCCCGCCATGAGCAAAGCGTCAATGCTTGGCGGAAATTGGGGTGGGCTGGTTTGGGATGCTTTGCTTTCTTTTTTTGGGGGGGGGGGTTCAGTGACGCGGGCTTCTGAAAGGGCTCTGGGACGTTTGGCTGGGGATAGGATGGCCGGCAGGCCACCAACATCGGCAAGCCAGCAAAAGGCATTCCCCCCCTTTTGCCCAATGCAGAGCTTCACACTAAGTTCTCCCTGCCTGGGGTTCGTACAGAAACCACGCATGAAGCTCGGTTCGCGATGTGCCGCCCGTGCTGATGCCTGGGACCTGCCACATGGCTATGGCTTGACGGAATGGATCTGGAATCCCACCTCTGCCCACTTCCGTGATGGAAAGGCACGGCTGCAGCCAGGTCCGCTTCAGCGCCTCCAGTCCTTCACAATTTTGACAATGGATGAGGCAGTCCTCTGACAGCTCAGATGCCTCGCCTGGATTCTGCAGGCTGTGCAGCCATGCCGGCCCAGCGCTGTCAGATTGCAGCCCCAGTCTTTTGCTGATCTTGCCGACCGACATCCTCGAGGCAAGCAACTGCAGGAAAAACAGGGGCAACTTGAAAGCTTTTAAAGCTTTGATGCATCCCGCCGTAGGCAGCACGAGTCCAACCGCATACCATGCATGCTCAGCTTCTGCTGCGAGGCTGCCGTGAGGTTCTGCATGTCTTTGTCCTCCACTTGAGGCACACCTTAGGTTGCGCACGGCCTGCCTCGGCCTGCCTTCGGTGAAGTCGGAGTGGGAATCCGCCTTCGGCTATGTGCCCATCACGACTACGATTCCCAACACAGCTCAACAAATCCGCTTGTGGGCTCGCAACGCGGGCTACAGTCCCTGCTTGAACATGTGGGTGACAAACGCTGTCTTTGGCATTGGCTGCAATAGTGCCCCGCCCAACCTGCAAAACAACCTTCAACTTGAGTCGGCTTCTCCAACAGGTTTCTCAACTGCCCCAACCTCACGTGCTCAAGCTGTGCCGAGGGCCTTGCGGCCGACATGGCGCCCATGCAGCCAGGTCGCCGTCACAAAGCCCAGCCACAGTGGGCACCCCAGAGGCATCCACTAGCGAGCCAAGCAGCGCAACCAAGTCGAAGATGGGCTCCTCGGAAAGTCTCCAGATCTGATTTTGCAAGTTCTGAACCATTCTGTAACCTTTGTCAGCCCCAACTATTGCAGAACGCATCACCCCGAAGACGTCCCAAACCACTTCCCCTTGCTTCTAGCCCCTTACGTTTTCAAGTGTGGAAGTGACGCTGGGAGCCCGGAAGCAAAGACCTTCTGGCTTCAAGAAACAGGCTGGGCTTTCATTGGGTGACTTCTATGCTCTGCTCGCACACTGCGCTGTGAGAACAAGACTTCAACACCTGCAGCCTTAATAGAAATGAAAATCCTACAGCCTCGCAAACATGACATCGTCCTAGTTACGTGTAGAAAAGCACAGGCCCATGGGCGAACGCAAGTTTCAACATCTGCCCAAAGGTAACTCTGCTGTTGTGGACTAGCACTGGCTTGCTTCAGCACCAGCTCACAGAGCCCGACGTGAGCGCCCCAGTTTTGCCACCACCAAGCCAAAAGCACACTAAACATGGTCGGGCAATCATTCGGGTCATTGGGTGCGAACCGAGCCATGTTTGTTGGATTTGGGAGCGCCATTGAAAGAACTTCTTTGGGGTAGTTAGGCTGGTTGGGCCATGGCTCTGGAACCAGCCCGCCATTGACGCCGCTGTGCAGGTCCCTTTCGCCTCCCTGCACAGCAACTTCAAAGTCCACCACGCCGCGCATACCATAACCTTAGCGACTTAGTGTGTGTTGGTTGCTCGCACTAGAGTATCAAGCTGCAAACTCCAGAGATGAGGCAGCCACATAAGCACGGCCGCTCCTTAGCCATACTGTGCAAGGAGGTCGGCTCTGCACAAGGAGAAACTGAGAAAAACAAGAGATCCGAGGGGCATCATCAATCCACTGAGAATTGTTGATAATCAGGCCAATGGTGTCGCCCCGAAGCCAGCCATCATTGCGTGCGTCTTGGACCATTCGGATGGTCTGCGTCGGGTCGCCACCTGAGCCGATCATGTCATAATTTCTGCAAGCTGTATCTTGCACAGAATCAAGGCAGGCGACTTTCTTCTGCAGCATCCACTATGAACAGCACGTTCACAGGGCAGTGGTTCTCCTGAAGCAAGCAAGCAGCAAGCCGTAGTGGAAGCAATCTGGCTGTAAGCTGTGAGCTGTAAGCTGTAAGCTGGCACGCATAGGCAACAGATTCTATTTTCCTGACTCCGCCAGGCAATCGACTCAAAGATGGAACTCACGGCTCACGGCGGGTTTCGGCCGTGCACCTCGAATTTACTCAGGTCAGCGCCTGATGCCCACAAACTTCCTCTTGGCCGAAATGGTCAAGGGGCCTCTGATCCGCCACTTCCAGGGCTGGCCCTGGAAGGCAGACGCCGGAAAGACCGCTGTCCGCCTCAGCCAAGGCCTTGGCCGCTCGGGGGGCCATGACGTGGGCCATGACTTCGCCGACACTTCGGCACCTGTCGTCGGCTGGACCTTCGGCACCTGCTGAAGGCAGGCCGCGAAGGCCTCGGACAGTGCGGCGAACTTGGCGCACGCGCCGTTCGCCTCGCCGACTGCGACGTCTCCGAGTCGGTCAGGGTGGAACCGCCGCGCCAGCTCGCGGTACCGCAGCTTCAGCTCCTCCCTGGACGCCTGGGGCGACACCCCCAGCACCTCGTGGCACCGCAGCAGCCGTGCCAAGGACCGCAACATGGCGCGGAGGGCCTCTGGGCGTCTCTGGATGCATCTGGGCCATGGCCATGAAGGAACTGAAGGACTGAAAGAAATGAAGGAAATGAGACTCCCGGTCCCCTTCGCACTCGACCGCGCGAAGCATGTTTCCTTCCATGCTCCCCCAAACTCGCTCACACCCACAGCTCAAGCAAGCGTCCTGGAAAGTCTCTGTGTCAAAGCCAGACAGGCAAAAGTCTGCCTCCCCCTGTAGAAGCCGGCGCACAGCAAAAATCTGGGCCAGCATTGGGCCTGCGTCTCAAGTGACCGACTGGATCAGCTCACGGCTTGGCTTAGGGGGCCAGCTTGAGTGGTTAAGGGTTAAACCAGCCGGCTGGCTTAGGGTTGGCTGTGGGTTGGTTGAGGCGTTCCGTATAAACTTGACAACTTGTCCAAGGTGAGGGGGCTTGGTGCCAGGGGGATGAACTGGGTCGCTCCCATGATCCCTTAGCAAATGCATATGTGGCCATGTGGCGGCTGCCGCTGACCATGAAACTTGGCACAACGCTGGGGGGTGCACGACAAGAGCCCGTGATGTGTGGGGCCTTCTCTTCACCCCTAACTTTACGCGAAGTCGCGCAAAACCACTACTACCACAATCTCTCCACTGGACCACAGACTGAACGCCTATGTGCATTGGAGGCCTCACACGACGGCACATGTCGCCTTTGTTGTCGCTGACTCCTCTGCCATAGAAGTAGCCATCCTTCGCAACCATTTTCCATGGATCCGTATTCCAGCACTTCCCTGCAGCCACCACATCATAATGCGAGTACCTTTGCACTGACAAGCATTCCGACGTTGACAGGAGGCTCTGCTGGACATGGGCGGGTGAGTGGCAATCCCACATGTGGGCGCCGGTTGCTTCGCTTTCCTCTCGCTGCCTCAAGGTTTGGAGGCATTGGGCCGTCCAAGCTGCATGATCACCAGAGGCTTGTTGGAGTCCCAGCCGCATCGCGCGACCACACCGCCAGGTGAAATTCGGACCTAGCGCAGCGAACAAACTGAGGAATTAACACAATCTTGAAAAGCCAAGAAGCAGTGGCCCCGAGCAGTTCTTCGAACTTTGTAGCCAGCCAGGATGACGCCTTTCGCATCTCTCCGTCATTCCTGCCTTGAGATTGTTCAGGTCAAGGCTGCGATCAGTCAGGCCATGCTCGTTGAAATAATTTGCCAAGCTTCTGTCACTAGACACTGTCTGCAGCGCAACGAACTCGCCAAGCAAAGAGACCAAGCGCTGAAATTCTACCACGTCCTGCGCTCATCAATGACATCCATGCTTTGGGCAGGGCATCGCCCGAACACACTTGCTTGGTTGCACCTGGTGCCAACCTGAATCCAAAGCCCACCTGCCTCGTGCCCACAGTCTTGACTTTGGCAGAACATGCCGCAGATTCGGCGACTGGGGGAAAGAAGAATCTTGGCGGAGCTGACCAGGTCCAAATAGGCGAGCTTGACCCCACCTCAAAGCGAGCCGCAGAGTCCGCGCAACGAGACCTGGTGCATTAAGAATTCTGGAAAGGGGCCAGAGCTGCAGCCGCTCACGACTCGAAGGGAAAAGTGGTTCTGAGACGCCGTCCTCACAAGACACTTGCATCACTTTCGTGAAGGAGGTTTTTCTCAAGCCGCGCCTCATGCCCAAAGCTGTGGCCGCGGCACAGCAAGTCATTTCAGTACTCACTTCTCTCAGAAGAGAGCAGTGCTCACTGTCCCAGACTCGCAGGATTCCAGCCGCGTCACCTGGAGAGCCCACTCCCAGCTCTGAACGAACTCCCTGGAAGCCGTGCCTGCAATCACCAGCGGTGGCCCCTCACAAACTCCGGTCTTCTGCAGCAAGGCCAACGTCAAGATGGCGGCACACCCCACACCTCCTCAACAGCTTGGGAACCGTGAGGCCGCGAAGCAACGGATTCCAGTAAGAGGATTGGTCCCTCCTCCCATGCCCGCCTGAGCACAGCACGGCCTTGCTCCCATGCTGAACGGACGCAGCATCCCAAACCCGGATGCGGCCATAGGCGTCGCCGGAAAAGAAAGCCTGCAGTCGAGTCGCTTCAGCAAATTCACAACTTGTGGGGGTTCCTATTTCGCTGCAGCAACAAGGCAAGAGCTCCAGCACCCTCGCTCTCGCTGTTCCAAGGGTGCTCAAAATACGTTGGCCACGTGGCCCTGGAGTCTGCGCAGGCTGCTACCGCCAGTACAGGACCACCATGATTGAAGACGCAAACCGCCTGACTTCGACAGTGTCGAAACGACCGCTGCGAGAAGCTGGAAGCTGGAAAGCTTCACCGTGAGCCTGAAGCCTCAGGAACCCCCCGTCCCCCACTCCTGACGCTGCGACCAGAAGATGATTCGCCCATCGCCACCACCCGAAGCAATCACGCCAGAGACGGGCTCGCAAGCAATGCAATGCACAAATCCCATGTGCCCGTTCGCACAGGTCTGCAAAGGCTCCAACAGAGTATGATGACCTGCCAGACAAGTGGGCTACGCAACGGGAAGGTCATGACATTCAGTATAAGACTGGCAGCTAGACAAAGACGCCACAATGTAGCTGAGATGCTGAATTTGGCGGCAGCAGCTGACATTGCCGAGCTTCGTTTGGACAGTTCCACGTTGAAGGTGTAATGCCTTGCGGTCCAGAAGGCAAGATATTGTGGGAGAAAAAGTGTCTAACAGCCTGGTGTGCTACATCCAGGCCTGGTTGTGCGAGTGCGAGTCTTTGCCTGCAGCAACCTCGCCCAGCCATTCATCAGATGCAGGCAGAACACGTTGCTGCTCTGGAAGCCAAGCAGCACCTCATCTCTTATGCAAGTCAAAGAAGGACAGGCGCGAATTGCAGCCAAGAGCGCGTTTTCCAAGTTGCCGGCGATGCTCAGCAAATGCCCCTGGTTTGGGGCAAAGTGGAAGCCTCAGATCGCAAGCTCTCCAAGTCCCGGCGTCCCGTTGGCAATGCAGCTTTAAGAAAGCGGCACAGCAAGCATGGCACGCTGACTTCGTCATCTGAAAGGTCCTGTCAAATGGAGCCAACCGCATCAAATGCTCTGAAACTTCTACTCCTGCAGCAATGCGGAGACATCCCATATCCGCAGCTCGTTTGTTGAAGTGGACAGCAACCTGGACAAAACCCGTGCAGACAGCTCCATGACTGCGAGTGGCCAAACGCGAGCGATTTTGCGGGTGCACCCACAAGCCCTTCATTCAAATTATTTGCTACTACATAGATGGGCCCTGTGACATCATCTAAAGAGCGAGAGCCCTCCTTGTTACGCCTCTTGCTCGGCAAAATGCCAGGGCCCTTCCGATTGAAATGACCCAACAGATTTCGGGCTGCCCCTCTATGCATTGGCTTCTCCAAAACGCATGCAACGATGCCAGGGCTGAATCCCCGGATCAAGAACAATGCGCATGCCTTCCTTGCTGAAACTCTGGACAGTCTTGTCGAGAATTATTCCTTTGCGCGTCCCGCGGGCTGAAGCCTGAATTGTTCGGAACTCGGTTCTGAGTTGGTGTGACTTTAGTTGGTTGGATAGGGGTTGGCCCAGGTGACCGAAGCGGTGCATGCACTCACCCGGCCAAGTCGCAAATCCATTCCACAAGGGGAGCGCAAATCGGCCTTCGGCAGAAACAAGGGCTTCGAGAGTCGTTCAGACAAACGGCTTGGCCTGGGCAAGCGGCAAAGACCCAGCAACTACCAGCTCAAATGATCGGTCAAAACAACACTCGAGCTGCCCGCAAACCGCACGACGCCTCAAACGAGTCTCTGCCCAAGCGCAAACTCTTGTGGCTTTAGCCCTGCAGAATGGCGCCCAAGAGCCGATGCCAGTGCAAGAGTCATGACTTGGGAACTCGCTGGAAAATGCCAAGCCGAACGCGCGCCAGACAAACCCGGATGAGCTTAGGCTTTCGATTGCCTAGGGCCCAAAGAGCGCACAGGGTCAAAATACGCTCAACTAAGGACACTAGGCGCTGAATGGGAACTTGCAAAGCCCGTGTCAGGTTGGTTGCGAAAGACGGCCCTTCCGTGGAAGAACCAAAAAGATGCTAGGTCAGCTGATTTCTGGACTCAGTCATTCAAGCCTTAAGCACTGAAACCCAGCCAGCGTTAAAGGGCTTAGGCTTAGACGTAGCTCAAACTTGCACAACAGAACCTAGCGCAACTCCCACACGTCCGCTTGAATAAAACAAACAGCAGGCACCTGACATGCAAACTGTGTCAAGCATCAACAATATGGATGCATGCGGTAGCAAGCATAACTTGCGTCCTCATGATAACTTGCGCCCTCATGAACCATCTGCACTTACAAACATGCTGGGCTCAGAACACAGCTAGTGACGCATTCTTTCAAAGCCAAGTCACAATTCATCTGTTCGTGCCCGACCGATAGGTTGGAGATGCCCCGTTTGCGAGCGTGGGGTGCTCTCAGCAGGGCTGGCGATGCTGTCCTTGGCCGATACCCCGTGCTGGAGGCACTCTGAATTGATGCCGCGCCACTGGGGATTCATCTCCACGAGGCGACATTTTCCCCGAAGCGGGGCTGTGGAGCATGTCCTGGGCTTGCGGACGGCTATTGGCATCGGGGTTGGGCCGATTTCTGGCAGGCGGCCCCGGTCCGCGGTAGGAAGAGCAGCGCCAAGACTGGACCACTGGCTTGGCTATGACGCCGCACTGCCAGTGCCTGACCTGGAGCCCGTGGAGCCCAAAGGCCCAAAGGGTGGGCCCGAGAATTCGATTCAGGCCGTTCGAGCCAGCTCGTGATTCCGCTCAACTCTTAAAGCCTGAAAACTGCTCGAAAGCCTGCCGCTTGCCCCTGAAAAGTTCAAAGGCTCCCTTGGAAGCCATCGCCTGAATTTGAAGTCACCCAAACTCAACCCGTCCACAACACAACATGTGGCAGGCCTTGCTCTGCATGGAAGAACCGCAGGGAGCCGTCCATGGAGCCAGCCGCAAAAACATTTTCTGACAGCGTCACCAGGCAGTTTACATCTCCAGACTCCGAGGCAGCGGTGATGGACATCCACACGTCCTCCAGGAGGAGCTCGCCGAGCAAACTGCAGGGACAAAAACCCACAAACGGCGCTTGTCTCGGTCCTGGTGGACAGGCGGCGGCTCGATCTCATTCCTCAGCAAGCGAAGCGTGCCCTGTGTCTTCTGGCCCCGGCAGAATATGTCATGTAGGTCTCATGTTCAGGCCCAAGGCGCGATGTGACCTCCTGAGACTCTGCAACGCTTGCCTTGGCAGCTCTGGGCGCAGACTCCACGCCTCAGATGGTGTCTGCACGAATACCGGCAATCAAAAAGATGTGCTGGAAGTTGGCCAACGAGAACTTACCACACCAAATGCATTGAGGCAAGCCACCTGTGAGAGCACTGAGGCCAACAACTGGCCCACACTTCAGTGGAAACATTAGCGTATCGATTGCTTGGCCTCAGAAAATCCACTGACCAAGCTCTGGCAAGGACTTCCATCATGAGCAAAACAGGGTGACTCAATGCCAACGAAGCCACTATGCCCACCAGTACGGCCACATAGCACGATGCTATTTGGAGCAATGGGCAGCCATTCTTCCCGAATTGGAGTGAGGGGCTCGCTTGACAAAATAGCAGTGCAACACTTGATGTCGGCCTGGGCCCGGGAAGCCGGACAGGGTCTGAGCCCCACGCTGGGCACAAGCAGGCTGTGTTGAGTGAGCGGCCCCCTTCTTCATCCGGAAGGCCTGAGGGTCGTCGGCAGAGGCCAGCCACCGAGAGCCGACACCTCCAGTTGCAAAGCCCGCACACATGCACAAACAAACAAACAAACAAAACCAGATCAACAAATTCAAACCAATCAGACAAACCAAGCCGCACAACAAAAAACAAACCAAACCAAACCACGCCAAAGAGACAAACCAAACAACGCAACAAGCTCCGGTGCTACCCCCCAACAGCACCACGCCCGCCCTCGTGGAAGCCTCTTAGGAACCGTTCCTAGCGTCCCGAATCGTGAACCCTCGTGCAACCACCCTCCGCCCACGGAACCTGGCCTCCCGGAACCCGCGGAACCCTTGCGGAACCTTCGCGGAATCGCGGAACCCCTCCTCAACCTTCAAGGAAGACCTTGCACCCGCCAGACCGCCAGACCGTCCTTGAACCCTGGCCTTCGCCAGAACCTAACTTTACTCCAAAGCCTTCCTTGAACCTTACATAACTTACACCCTAAACCCTCCGAACCTCCCAGAACCTTGAGCGTTACACCACGCCAATCCGAACAAACCAAACAGTGAAAACGAAACCAAACAAACCAAACCAAACAAAACGACACCAAACAAACCAAAACAGAACAAACAAACCAAACCAAACAAAAAGAAACAAAGATGAGAGCTGTGGCCAAGAAGCTGAGATAGAGAGTTGCGCCCAGAGCTAAGTCGCCGTCTTGAGGATCACCAGAATCTGTTGCAGGGGCTGTGCCATAGCGGCACGCAACGATGCGCTGGCCATCCTAATAGTCACGTAGTCAAGGCACACATGGGTCATGAACGAAAATGCCAAGCAGCTGTGACCATCAGATTCAGCAAAGACTCCTGGAGTGCCAAAGTTAGCATGCTCCTCTCAACTAAATAAAGCGTCCTTTTAGGGGAATCTCACTTTGGGAAAGCCTCCGGTTGAATTCCATTCTTTTGAAAGGGAGCAACCGCATTCACAAGACCCTCCAGCTGACAAGCAAGTCCTCCGGCCCGTGCTCTGCAGCGGCTTGCGTCAGTCTGAGCACCGTCCTGACTCGCAAGCGCCCTGTGAGCGCCACGGCCAGTTGAGTCAACCAGCCTGGAGAGCGCGGTGCACAAGGAATCCGCCGTACGCTCATCCATAGCATCTTCATCGCTGGTCACGCCAAGCTCCGTCAAAAAGATCCCAAAGGCAACCTGAGCATCAAAAAGATCACACAGGAGGCAACCTCGCAAGCAATTTCCACGCCAAGTTGCAACGGAGTCAATGCAAGCATGCTCCAGTGTGATGCCGAAAGCATACCTGGGCGGGCAAGAAGCTCAGAAAACAATGGCACACTTTGCCCAGCCAGGCGGCTCGTTCAGGCTTGCTAGCAGTGGTCTTCTGATATGGGCGAAGTTCCCCACGAGACCATTGTGTGCAAACAAAAAACCTCGGAGCTGGAAGGATACGTCATGCGTAACGATAGGTACCGATGCATTGCCACCAAATGTGATCCTCAGCTGAGCGGCGGCCTGCCTTGAATGGATGGCAAGCGGCCTCGTTCACGGAGGAGAACCTGAGATGGCTGCAAAATCACATGCAACTAAGGAAGTGACTTTTCTTTGCACGCTGCGCTGAGCCTACCACGGGCCTGCTGCCCTGATGTGGGCAAAAATTAGAGGAGATCGAACCTGCGCGGGCCAGCGGAGGGTGGGCGGGAGTGGTACATGCTCCTGCCTCCTCCGACAAATTGCGGAGGTTGGGGTCGTTCCATGCCTGAGAAGTGCGCTAGTTTGCGTGAACCGATGTTTGGATACTTTGCGCGGTTGTTACCAAGTCGCTGGTTTCAACGAAGTGAAAACACAGGGCAGCGGAGCTTGCTGAGCGTACCAGCCAACTCCAAAACCATCTGCATTCCTCAATTGTCGATCAAACACGCTTGCGATCAATCGCGCAAAGACGCCGCATGTCTTGCCGTGACAATTAGGGCAAGTCTCAAGCATGGCTGTTGATACGCCATACCTTGGGCGTAGGCATGGCCCTGCTGCAGCACTGCAAGACTTCACAACTGATGCCCTTCGCAGCCCGGCAGAAGATGGCACAAGACAACAATGCATTCCCGGACCAAGCTCCATCGCCAAGCCACTGGGGGAGACTCCTTGAGGCAATGCACGGCGTTCTCGCGCTGCATAACTTTGATGCACGAGTGACATACGAGGCCTCAATAAGATATCGGCCAACAGCACCTGGGCCCACTTCAAGACTGCAAGCCCTTGGCACTTTGGCATTTTGAGGAGTATCCGTAGCATTTTCAGCGATTCGGTCGTGGCATGTATGCGTGGTGGGATGATAGGGACTGCGTGGTGGCCCTTCCCTATCAAGCCCAGTCCCTCCATCCCATTGGTCTTGAAGCCAAGGAACGGATTCATCAGATATCAAAGCACACATCCGACACATGGCTACGGCTGCTTCTTCGAATTCGCTAAACCTTCATTAAGCCAAGCAATTGCACACTGTGAGCCCGTGCCTGCTTGGGGTCAGCAATGCCTCCGCCCATCACTGGGTGAAGATCGAAAACAATCACAAAATGTAAGTCTGAAGCTCCCGGGTGACCGACCGACCGACCGACCGACCGACCGACCCACCGACCCACCGACCGACCGACCCACCGACCCACCTGCCCACCCGCCCATATGATCCCATACAAACAATTTATCAGCGGCTGAGCCAAGCCCAGCTTCTGGATTTCGAAGAACAAAGAAAGATTTGTTTTTTCTCCCGCGCCTTTTTCCGTCTGCTCCTGCAGGCCACTTATATACCGGCGGCCCCCGGATGTGCTTAGGGGGCATTAAGAGGGCAGCCATTTGTTTACCGGCGGCTCCCGGCTGTGCGGCTCACCGGCCGGGCAGCGGGATGCGCCCGCCAGTGGCACGTGGGCAAGATCAGCCAGCAAGGTGCCGAGGGGAGGCAGGGTACCACCGCCGGCATTGCAAAGCTCCGGCCCGGCAGCCTGCCTGAAAAGGGACGAAGCAAAGGCTGTCATGGCTGCATGGGTCAGCTGGGCCGACCACCTGGCAACAAGAGCGCCGACAACACTGGGGCGCAGCCGAGCTGGCGCTTCAAGTGCCCGGGCGCGGGCCAAGGACCGGATGAAGGAGGCGGCCTCATCACTCCACCGCCCGCCAACCTCGACTGCAAGCACGACCAACCGGCATCTGTGCGCCCGCACGAGCTCTGGGTAGGCCCGCTCTTTGCGACGGCGCGCCACGGCGAGGGCAGCACCAGCGACTCGACCCCCGCGGCCCTCCTGGAAAGCTATTTTGCTAGCCCAAATGTCAGTGTGAGGCCGGCTGCCCGTCGTGCGACGAGAGTCACATCCACCGCAACCTGCACACCTTGAAAGGCCGGGAGGCCATTCGCAACATCGTTGGTCCCTTAAGCACATCTGGGGCCTTGAGACACTCCTTTCTGACCTCGCCACAACGTCTCAGGCCTTGCTGATCTCCTCGGCTGGGCATCACACGCGAGGAGTTCACGCTGCAGGATGACGTGTTTGTTGTGTGCTCCTCCGACGCCTGCGCGTTTTATTAAAGCGAGCCTGCTGTTGTGGTGGTGACCTTGACCCTTGCCAGCCCCACAGCCAGTGTGCTGGTCCGTCGCTCTTGCCTTTGGAGCGCTGGCGCGCATCTGCAGGCAGGTTGGGTCGTGATAGCCATTTGTACACCACCATGGCCGGGCAAGCGGGATGACGAGCGGCGTGGTGACAGGATCGGCCAGCAAGGTGCTGGGGCAGCGGACCGCCTGACCGGGCGCAGCTTTCTAGCAGCCTTCGAAAGAGCTTTGCAATGAGCTTCCAAAGAGCCTTGTAAGGAGCCGAAGAGGAAGCTTTGCTAGGAGCTTTATCAAGTGCTTTCAATCAGATTTGTCGAGGTCTACTTTGAGAACCTTGAAAGTAAGGAGCTTTGCAAGGAGGAGCTGCCTAAGGCTTGATAGGAGCCTGAAAAGCCTCGCAACGACTTATAAGGAGCTTTTTACAGCCCCGTTGCGTGACATGCGCCGCACTGTACGGATGGCTTGCATATTTCGTGTCAGACAAAACATTTGGTAGCTGTCTAAAGGGACTCGATGCTGTCGAGCGCGCAGCATTTTGGAGATGGCTTGAAAATTTCGTGGCGAGCGCGGCATCTCCGGCATCTCATTGTACGTTCGCGTGGCATGGCGCAGCATTTGGTCGCTGTCTACAAGGATTCGATGTTGTTGAGTGTGCAGCTAGGGGTTGCGTTTTGCGTGACAGGCGCAGCACTTTAGAGATGGCTTGCAACTTTCGTGGCGCGCACAGGGCCCTGTTTGGCTCGACAGGCGCAGCGCCCACAGTTGTGGCGAAGCATCTCCTGCATCTGAGTGTACGTTTGCGTGGCCTGGCGCAGCATTTAGTAGCTGTCTAAAAAAATCGATGTGTCCAGCGCGCGGCTCGGGCTCCCGTTTTGTGTGATAGGATGCTTTGCAAATTTCGCGGCAAACACAGCATTTCCTGCATCTGGGCGTACGTTTGCGTGATCTCGCAGCATTGGGTAGCTGTCTAAAGAAATTAGATGTTGTCAGTGCACAGCTGATGTCTATTTTTTCATTTTTTTCTCGCGCCTTTTTCCGCAGCGTCTCTGTCGCAATTGAGGGGGGGCCCGGGCACCAGGGTTCTGCAACTGTTTTTGCGGAGGCCAGCTTCCTCACCTGCACGCTAGGTGGTGGCATCTTGTTGGCCCTCCCTGGCAAGCAAACGCATCCTGCACCAGTGCGGAGTCAACCTCTGCAGTCTCAAACTGCTCCAGGGTCAATCACCACCATATTCTTCGAGTACGATCGATCAAACAACAAACAACTCTATGTCTTTGATCAAGCACTGCCTGGAGCTTGTTGAGCCCTTCAACAGCCACAGTTGCGGCAGTGACCCCACGAGCATCTTGTCACAATTTGCTCTCTTGCGCCGCGCACGCCAACGCCAATCGCAGTTGGGGGTCGGGGCGCTCTTGGCATGATCTTGTCAAGCATTTTGTTGGGCAGCGTAAATGCGTTTTGCGCGACAGCGCGCTGAATGCTGTAGGGTGTGAGGTCATCCACCCTCAAACTAGGCCACGTTTATGCTTCAAGAAGGTGTTATGGGTCTATGCACGGTTGCTTGGCTTTGCTAGGGCTTGCAGCGGCACATCGAGCAAGTAGGCAACCCCAAGTGCTTGTTAGCGACTTCAGGCGCAAACAAAACGTGGCTTCTGCTTGGTTTAGGGAGGGTGCATGCGCTTGCATGTACGCGCTTCTCATACAACGTGTGAACCAGCTCACAGTGTGTGCTCTGGCAACACGCCTGTCCCTGTCCTAAGGCAAATATTTAGAAGTGCTGTGCCAGGACCAAAAAGCCAAAAACTCATGCAGCAAAGCAAACAAAATAATGGACTCTATTTCACGCAGTCGCAAACAACATATGTGGGTCAGTTGTGGGGGGGGGGCAGTAAGTCCAAACTAATATCATGACAAGGTTCGGGCAACATGCAACGAGGCGAGAAGTCAGAAGCCTTCCACTGCAAAGCCTTCCCGATGCTTCATGTGCACGGTGCCTTTATGTGACCGAGCCTCAGCCTCGTAGCTGTTTTTATACCAGGCCGGCAGCCGCGACGCACCAGGGGAAGATGGGCACGCAGCGAGAAGGTCACTCAAGTCCGGGCAAGGCCCATCAAGGTTGCTCAGGCCAGGGGAGGGCAAGGAAGTGAGGCTGTGAGCGAAGGCGAGTGAAGCTGGAGCGCAAAACAAGCCGGACCATCGGTGGACATAAGCACTTCGAAGGGCAGGGCGAAGGGCCTCCGCCGCGGCTCGGGCTCTGGCACGTGCGAGGAGGCGGAGAAAAGAGGCGGCCTCTGACCCCCAGCGGCCTCCAAGTCCGACAGCGATTCCTTGCTCGGGCCGACGGCGGGGCCTGCAGGACCTTCGGTGCCCGAATCTTCTTGGATTTGGTTGGACGATGTTAATTTGGCTGAGGAGTTTGCAACGCCGCTGCCGACCTTGCGCAGCATCCCGCGGTTTTTGAGAATCGGCGCGCACCGCGCCTTGATTTCTACCCCAACAGGCTAACAAGGACGCGGGGACCGCGCAGAGACGCTTGCAGGCGTGGAAGCTGTTCCTGCTAGCGCACCGCCTGCTGCTTGCGCGCTGCGCGGATACAGGGGCAGTGGGAAAGGTAAGCTTGCAACAAAGAGTCTCCGACTTCCTGGCGGGCCGGTGGAGTTATAGGAAACATGCACTGCTCCAACCTAAAACAACCCAACCCTCGATACGAACGAGACGCGCTCTCCTTTTGTAACCGGGTTGCGCTGGAGTCTCTAGCTGACGCAGAGCGGTGCACTGCTGTGCACGGCTTCAGCTAGGGAAGGCTCTATTAACCCCCTGGTGAAACGTATGCATCACGCTGGAGTTAAATCCTCGATTGATTCTTCGCACGGCGGTGCCGAGGAGTTTTAACGAACCTTAGTCTGGGAGTCCCGTGGATTGGTTCCCAGGTTGTCCCAGAGCACTGCGGTGCTTGGCGCTGCGGCGCCAGTTTAGCTTGACTGTCAAGCCAAAGTGAGGGCACTCAAGTGCCCTGATCAGCGGTCTGTACACAGCGGTGTGAAATAGCAAGGTGAATGTACCTTAGTGTGTCGATTGCGTGACGCTGCGGCGTCAAACAAAAGATCCTGGTGCCTGGCCCTGCGGAGCATGGCACCAGCAACTGAGTGGCGCGCGGTTTGCGTCCTGCGCCTTAGTGACCACAGTGAATGATCATGTATATGGACTACAAAAAGCAGCGGGGCTCGGGCCTGAATGTGGTTACCTGCAATTGGCACTGCGGTGCGAAAAAATGAGGTTACACATCAAAGGCTCGTGGTTCGCATGCGCTTGTATAAGCACACGGAGAGAACCGCTTGCCTTAGTCCACAATGGTGCGTCGTGTCCTTGGCCCAAGGCACGGCACCAAAAGAAGGGAGGGTGGGTGGGTTTCGAAAAAGGGGAAACCGCATGGTTGTTTAGCTTGGAGCAGAATTGGCCACAGGCGGTGTAGATTCACATGTCCCTATAACACGGGGGAACAAACAACCCCTAGCGTTATAGGAAACATGCACTGCTCCAACCTAAAACAACCCAACCCTTGATACGAACGAGACGCGCTCTCCTTTTGTAACCGGGTTGCGCTGGAGTCTCTAGCTGACGCAGAGCGGCGCACTGCTGTGCACGGCTTCAGCTAGGGAAGGCTCTATTAACCCCCTCTTCAGTGTCCAGCGCAACCCGGCCTTCGCTAAGCTCCCCCACTTCAGAGCGGGTTGCGTGAGCCTGGCGTCGCGAGATGTGGGAAAATGTATAGGCATGCTCAAACTGCCCTTATTTTCATGTAACTGGACAAAGGCGCGCCATTTATCCTGTATTCTGCCGTGCTCAAGCAGCGGTGCAAGGCAATGTTGGCTGAAATACCCCCGTGGCAGCGCGGTGCTCGGGTCTCCACGGTGCAT